CATATTTATTTTCTTTCTTTTTTTTTTTTTTTTTTTTTTTTTGTAAATTTTAGGATTGTTACAACAATACTCTGTCACATCGCGATGCCCATAGCTTATAGCAGTAATCACATCACTGCATGACAACCCACTAATCTGCCACAATCGACAATTGCATGTATGTATTGCCGGATTAACAACGTATTTTTTGTCATCATGGATATCATACATATCATCATATGCTCATATTACTTTATGAAAGAATCTCGCTTTCTCCCTTTGCTTATCTATTTTTTCTTAGGCCTTCAGTACAAGCATGTCACTCCAGTCTAAGGACTTAGCCATATTTTTAGAAAACTTGCTCATGAGCTTAACCCTTATGCATTCAAGAAGTTGGATGATGGGTTTCTCTTGGGCCAGTAATATCCACTTTTTAAATAATTCAAATATGTTGAATGTGAGATGGTTGCATCTACATCTTAAAAAATGGGCATTCGTCCAACAATGCACTAGTTTTAACATTATCTATTCACCATCTCTTAGGGTCTGCAAGGGAATCTACCCCCCATGAAAGAATACTTCCTTCAACGTCTATAAGGGAATCCACCCCAAAAACGATCTTTTCACAAGACTAAATTTTACTCAATTTTAATATATGACCATTCTCTGATCCTTTACAATGAAGGGACATCTCCAGTTAAATAGACTTTGAGGAAAAAAAAAAACAAATTTAAAAAAAAAACGCTCTATCTCACGTACCATCTCTCTCCCTATTTTCCCTCTCACAAAAATCTATTTTCTCTTTCATGAAAAGATCATCTCACTCAAAAGTTATGCACCATATTTGTTAAATCTTTATCTTCCCCATATCTAACTCCCTTATATTTCTTCTATTCAAATACCCCTTAAATCTCTCACTAAATATTTTAAGCAACTTTAATTTAAAAAAAAAAACTAACTCACACCAAGATTTGCCTTTCCTAAAAACTCACGCTACTCATTCCTAAAAATCTGCATTAGTTCACAGTCCTTAGTGTCTACGCTCTTAATCTTCGACATGAACTCGTCAAACTTTGATACAGTATTTGCATTGGTGGCTTTCCAAAAAAAGTATTGTTTGGAACTAGCATGAGATGTTTGTATCCATATTACAATATCAATATGACAAAAATATGTAAAAGAATAATTACTTTTTAAAAACTAAAAACTATAAAACTTGACTAGAGGATCCACAAGTTTTTAATCATGATTATAATCTTCAATACCGGAAAGAAGTTCTCATCGTGGGTACATAAAAAATATCTATTTTGAATTTGGATAAAGATAAAGGGAGTATGTTTCTATTATTGTCTATTTATATTTATTTTTATACATCAATGATTAGCATTGAGCCCATACCTCTTTGTTTTGGTTATGGACGACTTAACTAGACACCTACAGGATGAGGTACTATGGTGCATGTTTTTCGCAGATGACATAGTTTTAATAAAAGAGACCTGAAATGACGTTAACACAAAGTTATAATTTTGGACGAATGCTCTAAAATCTGAAGGTTTTAAAATTCGCTGGACTAAAACAAAATATATGGAATACAAGTTTAGAAATAACAGGAGTAGAGACGTGGAAGTAAGCTAATATTGACGGCTAGGAAGTGCAAAAAAGACCGCACTTTCAACATTTTTGATCGATAATCCAAGAAAATAGAGAGATTGAGGTCGTACATAGAATTAGAGCTGGGTACGTGTCACACCCCAAGAATTTACAATACTGATATTCCTGAGATGTGACAGTCAAAACAAAACAATTTTAGATATCTACTATGCATTGAATCAAAATCAAAACCCCATTTTATTTTTATTTTTATTTTATTTATTTATTTTGAAATTTTAGGATTATTATATAAACTCTGTTCATAACTAATATTAACATAAAGGTCTAAACATATATACGTCTCTTGACGGACAAATTTACAATGGCAAATTCTTACAAAGTAACAAAAGAAAGTTTATGCACAACTACAATATCTTCCAAAGTTGATCCTGACGAGCACTCAAAATGAAACCGCAATTATCCTTAAAAAAATGTTTACCATAGTTTGATGAGTTTGGCTACTCAGTAAGTGATCATCATAATCCTAAAAATAATCATGGTTGAAAGATATCAATGATTTAAAAAAGGAGATCTATTAACATAAATGCATCAACAATTTCACTTTAAAAAATGCATAATTAAGTATATTTCGAATAATTGAAATGCGTATAAAATTTTAACAGCATTGCATAATTCAAAGGATTTCACAAAATACCGTACTGGCGTCCCAAGTAGGTCACATATATACCCTATCAGCGTTCTGATGGGTCCACTTAATCTCTATCGGCGTCCCAGATAGGTCCACTTTATCCCTGCAGGTCCACTTATACCTCACCGGTGTACCGGATGAGTCTTCCTAATCCCTACCGACGTACCAGGTAGGTCCACTTATACCTCACCGGCGAATCGGATGAGTCCACTTGCATACTTAAAGTATTTATAAATCTCTTTAAACATTTGAAAGCAGCAATATCATGTACTCAACATATCACTGCAATTATTAATATGAATTTCACTGAAACCATTAATATCAGTCACTTTCAATAATATTTCAAAAATGCCCAGTCAAATATTTTGGGCTCAAATTCAGAAAGGTAGCAGTTCGTAAAGACATTCTAGCATAATTGCCAATCTAGCATGTATAGAAAAACTCTTATAGAAATCCAAGAATACATAATTATCACAATTTATGGGATGTCAATTCGTAAATAAACATTTCACAAACAATGCTATAATCAAATACAAAAATATTAGTTTTCAAATAATAAGGCAGTCATTTGCACATGAATTTTATTATGTCTAAATATTAAAAAACAGTAGAAAAAAATCTCACAATTTTACCAAAAGCAGAAATATCACATTTATTTCTAATAATTTTACAGTATTTAAATTTTTCTAACAATGGACAAGAAAAATAAATTTATTTCTAAGAATTTACAGCATTTAAAATTTATAACATAGAAAAAATATCACAATTTTATTAAAATGATTATTTTTCGAGACAATGAGGTCACTTACAATTGCTCATCAGACTTGATTCATCAGAACCATATATAGGTCTGGACCTTCAAAATGGTCTAAGAGATTCAAGGTTTAGAGTCCCTAAGCTTTACTTTGTACGGTTACTGCTCTCGCCTTTTTATTTTCTTTGGAGGAACTAACCCTTGTCGGATGGTCAAGCCCTTTGAAATTGCCGACTATATGGCAGAAGTAAAAATTATATAAGCGAAGGAAGACCGCATTACTAGGCTGTTAAAAAGAGATGGTCGGAGAAGGACTACTCCAAGAGAAACATCAAAGCGTACTTTCCTGTTATCCTCAGAACTCATACGTATATAAGAGATATAAGGGAGAACACTTTTTTTTTTTTTTACTAATGTATTTACTAATTAATTTAAATGTACCTAACAGTAAATAAAA